TCTGAAGAGAAGGGAGAGTCAAAAATCACCCATTTTAATACTAAAAAGTCCAACAGGTGGTTAACAGGCAGAAATAGGAAAGTCAACAAGGGAGTTGACAATGGGGAGTTCATTTTAGGGGTGTTTTTAAAATGTGCCCTTCCACAGGTGGACAGAACCTGGGATTAGTACTTTGGTAACTGGAGATTCGGCAAGGAATATCCTTGTGCCTCCATTTTCTCTTCTATAAAATGATTAGCTGATCTATAATTAATCCTTTGGATTCCTTGCAGCTTTCTAGAAGCAGCATATATATGAAATAGAGGAAACAGAAGGAAGATTTCAGGGATTAAAAAGTCAATGAATGATCAAGATACTTGGTCATTTGTCTGGTTTGGAAGTTAAAGAGAAAAAAAATGGGACAATGATTGATTTTTTTTTTTTTAGGATTACAGAAAACTGTGCCTTTTAAGAAATTACTTAGGCAAAATAATTATGTAGAATGGAGGCCACCTACAAATTAACCTAAGAAATCTAAAGTACAATGTGTAACAATGCAAGTCAAATAGCCTTTATTTATAGGACAGACACACTTCAGTTTTGTAGTATGATATGAAGGTGTTAGGGAAGTCCAGCTGCCCGAAATGTGGCTTCCTGACCCTCTTAAAATTCTGCCTGGATTTACACTATTAAAATAAACCCCTTTGAATATACTTTGTATTGTAAAATGTGCATTTATTTCATATTCAGCTGTTGTCATGCTTTCTGGTAAATTAGTGCAGCAGGCTGACAACTAGCTAAGGATAGTCAACTGAGGAGACAAAGATTGGAAGGGAGAGAAGGAGGGATCTCTTTGGTATGTATGGCATTGCTCAAGCCAGTACAGCAGCATATGGGTGCCTGCTAGGCTCCAGATACTCAGCTGGGTTCTAGAGACAAAAAAGGTAAGCAAATTGTGGTCCATTGTCTCCAGATGCTTATAGTCCGGAGAACACACTGCATGAAGAGCATGGGGCTGGGGTGTTTTAAATATTACCTCAATTAAAAATAATTTTTTTTTTAAAAGTAAAACCAGGGACTCAGAAAGGGAAGATGGAGGGACAGAGAAGATTCTCTTCCATCTCAATCGAAGGATTGGACATTAAAGAAAGGCTTTTTCCTGTAGCCAGTGAATTCTCCTAAGGAAGTACTAAAATTTGAGTTGGTACGTTTGACACTCTGTAGGCTGTGGAATGACAGATAATTCAAACCTCCTTTAATTCAATGATTTTTTTGATCTTTTGAAATTTAAATTAGTAAGATTTGACTGTATGAGAAATAACATCGCTGACTATGAAATACAAGTCCATTGCCCATTTTTCTTATACCCCCACCTTTTCCAGATGGTATTTCAGGATTGCTGAAGCTGGTGGCAGAAAAGGCAGCAGGAATTGGAGAAAAAGAGGAACTAGAAGGATAACTGACAAATTCTTTAAACAGCAGGCCAGAGGGGTATCATGTTTTCACAGGTGGCTTTCAACACATACTCCAACTTCCAGTAATGGAGAGAATACTCCATTGGGACTTAAAAGACTTGGGGGAATCAGTTCTGACCCTGGTATTTATTAGCTAACTAGCCATGGGAAATCATAATAATATTCACCTATATTATGGAAAACTTACTATATGTTAGCCACTGCTACAGGTTTTACTTGCAGAAATATTTCTCACAACACCCACTAATGTAGATTCTATATCATTTTCCTATTTTACAGGTAAGGAATCTCAAACACTCAAGTTCAAGTTCATATAATCTGTCACTTGTCAAAGCAGAGATTTGAATACCGGCAATATTCATGTTTAACTAACAGTTAACTGATACTCCAGTTACCAAAGTTGGCTAGGCCTCACTCGTCTCACTTAAAAATGCAAATGTGAGACCAGACACTATGCAGATATTTTTACAGCTTTAAAATATTATTTTTATGACATTAGTTATATGAATTGCTATACTTAATATACTTAGAGTTAATCTGTGCCTCTGAGTAGTCTGGCTTAGAGAAATGAGCGCTAATGAGAACTTTCTGAAATATGGTCTCATATTCTAACTTCAGTCAAGTTAGACCGTATTATTCACTGGTCTATCAAGAATGTTTCTCCTCAATCTCCGTCTATTGAAATTCTACCCATCCTTTAAAGGCCAGCTGGAATGCCATCTCCTCCAAGTAACCATTCTCCATCTTGGGAAATTTAGAATGGAAATGTATTAAACTGTTGAGGGTTGGGATTTGGGAGAAAAATCTGTGCTGTGAAAGGAAAAGATGTTTAAGAAGAAATAGAAAGTAGGAGAGATGCCCTTCCTGATGAGGAATGGTCACAGAACCTCAGTAATGGCGCTGATCTGCACCAGCAAAGTCTTCCCTGTGAGGGGCCATAGTGAAGCCACCTGAGTTTTATCCAGTGGTTCCTGGTGAGTAGATGTGAGATGAAGATGAATGGAGATATATGAAATGTCTAGCAGTGTCTAAAAAATCAATGACCATAGTATTTTCCAATCTCTGGGAACCTGTCGTAGGAACCTGATCATCTCCTGCATGGTGAGGAAGGCTGCCATCCTGCCCAGGAAGGGGTAGGACAAATAGGCAAGAAGAGACTCAGTGGGGAAAAGAGAACTCAGGAGCAGACATATGGCAACACAAAGAAAAACATGAGCCAGAGATAGAAAAGATAAGAGAGAAAAAAGCAGAGAAAAAGAAATGAAAGCAAAAGGACACAGAAGGAAAAGAAAGAGGATTAGAACTTGGAAATTTTTTTTTCCCCATTTCTTTTGCAAGATATGACCCAGAGGAGAAGTCCCAGAGGTAACCGAGTATAGCACTCAAACCTGGAGTGCCAGGCACTTGCCACTGTGCTTCATATGGGGTGCTGACCCCTGTCCCCAGTAACCCTGTCCATTGGCTTATCATGCTTTCTACCACTAGGTAGCCCAGAGGGTTGGAGGAAGGGAGAAGCCAGGAGATTGCTCCCGTTCTCTGCTTCGCAGGCATCTCCAGAAGTAGTCAGGCACTCACTGAGGAGCCCTTCACAGTTCTGGCAGCCTCCTTTCTATCCCTCCAGCTCTAAGGGATAAGATGCATCCAGGAGTCGCTACTCTCGGGATGGCCTTGCCTTCCCTTGGTCCTACTTCCAGTTCTTTCAATACCTTTGTAAAGTATTCACTGCATGAAACTATCACAATTGAATTATCTTGGCAAGAAAACTTTACTTTCACTTGGATTCATCCTCGGAGGTTCAAAAACAACTTTGCCAGTAGAACTGAAAGAAAGAAATCCCAGTCGTCCCAAGAGTCAGGACAGGTCTGGGCTCACTTCTCCAGTGCTTGATTGGGGAGCGACAAATTCACAGTACGTCACAGAGCTGAGAGAGACTCAGTCTAGGAACTATCCGTAAAATGACTAGGTTCCTGTCTATTTATGTCTGTTCCTTCATGATTAACTATATTCACTTTGATCATCCTGAGCCTTTAAGCAATATCTCAGTTATATTCCTCCAAGGTTATTAAATGTTCACTAAAATGTTCACTATGAGTATAGAGGGCACAGAGTTAGGCGTGGTGGCCATGGGGTAAGCCACAAACATACAGGAGAAATGGAGGGCATTCTCAGTTTTCAGAAGTGTTTGCTTTTTGCAAGATGAAATATGTGTATGGTCTTTCAGGAGATCCCCTTGATGGGGATTCCCTTGAGTTTTTCCAGTCCTAGGAGAACTGTGGACACTGAGAAACTATTTTATTACAACTTCCATCTCTCCTAACCCCAGAGCTTTGTTAAAACCAGGCTCCTGTTCCTAGGGAATCCATAGACCAATTGGGGCACAAAGTAAGCACAGAATTGACCCTCAAGTCAGACTGATGCCCACAGAAGAGAATTCTGCAGGAGTTTCAGAGAGACTGTGCAGAGATCATAGGAGATGATAATTAAGCCAAGTCTATGAGGTTGTGACAGGTGGAAGGAACAAAGGGACTTTCTCGTTTTCTGGCAACGATTACAGCAGAATCAAAATGACTTGTGAATGGACAGAGGCTGCTGAGGTGTCCTCTTTAACAGGCGTGGGAGGGCTGATGGGTGAAGACTGGAGAGATGGAAAGGTGGTGGCCCAGCTTTGGGGTACTCTAAGACATTGGGACTGGAGGCCATGGGGTGTCGTCTAAGGATCTTGATCATCCTGTGGCAAGGTCACTTCTAAAGGTGGCAACTTTGAGTGCCCTGCAGTGGGTGGATTAGAGGGGGAGCAGCAGGAGGCAGGGGGAGGAACTGCGAGTTGGGGAGTGGCGGTAGGGTGGGGGCTGGTTTACACAGGAAGCCTTATTGACCATCTCTGACCGGGGCGTATTAAATGAACAGATGAGCTGCTTCTCTATCCATTCAGGGGCAAGTTTTCTCCGTCGGGGGAGAGGAGGGGATGTGGGGGCGGGGCGGGGGCTCGAAGAGGTGCCCCCTCTGCAGCTGGGCGGTAGGAAGGAAGTCTCCAACCTCAGAAGTTTCCAATTTCCCCTTGCCAAGGTCGGACAACTACAGGTGGACAACAGCGAGCCCCGAGGCGTCGTGGGGTTCCACGGCAGCCCGGGGCAGCCGCCGCGGCTCGTCCCCCCTCCAGGCCCGGGCGCCGCCGCGGGCCGTGCCGGGCCGGGCGCTCCCGAAGCTGCGCGGCGGAGGCTCGAGGAGGCCTGGCGGGCGGCGGCGAGAGGCTGTGCCCCAGTTTGTGTCCAATCAGGGAGTGCGGGCTGTGCCCGGAGCCGGGCAGCAACGCGTAAACAAACCCACGGCAACTCCTCCGCCCCCTCGGCGCGCTCGCCCCGAGCCCGCCGCCGCCGCCGGCTCGGCTCTCGCGCCCGCCCGCCCGGCCGGCCCAGCCCCCAGCCCCGCGCCGCCCGCACCCCCCGCTGCCCTGCCCCGCCCCGCCCCCGCCCGCGCGGGCTCCCTCACCTACCGCCCCACGCGCGCGCGCTCGCGCACCACGCGCCCCGCGCGGCCCGCCCGGATCGTGGCCTCCCGAGAGCAAGGTAAGGGCGGTGCGCCGGGACCGGCGGCTCCCCCGCCCGGCGCGGCCCGAGGAAGTTTCTGGCGTCTCCGTTTTCCGCCGGGCCGGGGGCGGGCGCGCGGGCGGCGGGGAGCTCCGGGCGCCGGGCGAGCGCGCGGGCGGGGGCGCGGGGGGCGCCGGCGCCCCGGGGCCCCAAGTTGCCCCAGCTGACATGGTGCGGGGGGCGGGCGGCGCGCGGAGGGGGCGGGCGGCGCGGCGGGGCCGGCGCGGGGAGGGCCCCGAGGAACTTTCTCCTTCCCAGAGGGGCTCCCGCCAGCCCCGGCCGCGGCCCCGCCGCGGGAGCGGCCGGCCCCGGGGCCGCAGGGAGCCCGTGAAATGTGTTTGAAGAAGCTGACGCAGTTGGTGACGCTCGCGGCTTCCTGACGGGCACCGGCCGCGCAGCGCCTTCTCCGCGGCGGGGCCGGCCGGGTCGGCGCGCGGGCCCTGCCCCCGCCCGGGAGCCGCGCGCGGGCGCCTGTGGGGGCCGCGGGCTCGGGGCGCGAGCCTCTGGTCCCGGCCGGGAGACCGGCCCCGGCCGCGCGCGCCGCCCGCGTCTGGAGGAGCGCGGGCTATTATATAAGATGTCACGGCGAGCGGGGAGCGGCGGCCGCGAGGCGCGTCGGCGGGGGCGCGGGCGAGGGCGCGGCGGCCTTCCGCGCGGGCGGGAGGGGCGGGCGCCGGGCCGCGCGGACCCACCTGTGCGCCCTCCGCGCCCCCTGTGGGCGCCGCCCGCGCGCGCGCCGGGGGCCGGGGGTGCCGGAGGCGGGCCGTGGTGCCCGCCGGGCCGCGGCCGGAACGTGCCATTTGCTCCCCGCCGCCTCGCCTGGGTCTCCACGCCCCTGACTCCGGGCGTTTGTACTTTGAAACATTTGTTTGATATGAAGGAAACTGCGTGTGCGGCCGTCAGGGTACGTCCGGCCGTGTGGCGGGGAGCTCCGGGGCGGGGAGTGAATCATCGCCCCGCGGATCCGGCGCCGATGATTCATGCGGGGTCCACGCGCGCCGCGTGCTCCGGGGCCGCCGGCCCGGGCCGAGCCTTCTGCGGCGAGGACGCCTGGAGGAGGAGGAGGGAGTGCAAAGGGGCGAGGGTTTGTTCCTCTCCCCTCCACAATTTTGGGGGTGTCGGGGTGTCGAGTTCTCCAGATTTCCCGAGACTTGTGTCGCGTCGTTGAGAGGGTGAGGAGCGTCCACCTGGCTGCATGCGGGAGTCGATGGGGAAACGCTGATTCGCTGCCGGGCTCGGGCCTGTCTCATTCACAATTTGGATGGTGTGAAGTGAACTATCGGGCTCTGAAGGGATCCTTCTAGTAATTGCCTCTACTTAAGTACAGCTAAAGTAATTAGTAAAAACTTAGTAAGTGGGTTTTTTTTTTTTTTAATAAGTGAGTCCTAAGTAGGGAGTCCTGCTTATTAAAGACTTAGGTTTGGTTTTTTTAAAAAAATCCTAAAAGGAACCTGGTTTGCCATTAAGACAGAACTTTTCCCCACTGTCGCCACCCTTCGAGGCTTGCTTGACTCATTCCTACCCCCACACCACACTGGTGGGACCAGGAATGAAGCTTTATCATCACTTAGGAGTCACCTCAGGCATCTACCCAGCAAGGCCTTCTTGATGGCATTAAGGAGCTTTCCACCACTCCCTCCAGGAACTACTCCTTAGTCATGTTTTATTTTCTTAGTACTTAATGACTATCTTGAAATGATTTTGTTTCAGGAGTCTGAAAGTTGTGTCTCCTAAGCTATTCTTTGGCAGGTGGTTTTCCCTGTTTTGTTTACCTCTATAACTCTAGCACTGGAGCAGTGTCTGGCATATATTGGCACTCAGTGTCTATTGACTAGTGAATCAATTCCTTTTCTCTGATTTCTCGGTAGGACTGTCTTCGAAAGTGGTAATGCCCTGCCTTTTGTAAGCAAGGCTCTAAAATGGTACAGTTCTAATTCTCTTTCTCTTTTTTTCTTCGAATTTTCTTTTGATTGATTTATTTCCACTTCCGTGCTGTTAACTTACAGCACAAGATGGATTTGAAGATCATATCGGGAGACAATGAGCATGTAGAAATATAAGGGATGTGGACCCTTCTCGATGGAAAGTATGTTGCTATGTAAGTCAGTGAATCATTAAAAAAATCTTAAAAATAAAAAAATTGAAAAAAGTATGTTGAAGTAGAATCAGCAAAGTCAAAATTTCATGACACTGTATGTTTCCACATATCTTAGGTATGATATTTCTATATTTCTTCCTCCCCACTGCCTGTATACCAACCTCAAATTTAATTGCAGTTTGTAAAGGTCCATAGTATGTAGCACTTAATATGAAGTATGGATTTAACTAAATGAATTCAAGATTTACTTCTTTACAGAGGCCTTAACTTTGATTTGTTGTTAATGGTCATAACTCCACAGAAGAGTAGATAGGAGTTATTTAAAATTATATTTTCATCTTCTTAAATGAATGGCAAAGAATTAAAACTATAGTAAATCAATGATATAATGAAATATATATTTGAATGCAGTATTTTAATACTATCTCCTAGAGGAAAAGTTTTAATAAACTTTTTTATTGTTGTAAATAGTAAACTTTGGAGGCACATTAGCTGGGTTTAGTCTTGTAGCAATGTTTATAGAATTTACGCATCCAGAGTCACTGTTCATGAAGAATGGGCATCCAGCAGATCTCTTTCCATAACAGTAGTGTGACCCCTTTCAGAAACATAATCTCAAGAGTGAGCTCAGAGTTGATAGAATTTTAAAGCTAAAAGGGGCCTTCAAATTCCTTGGTACAGTTCACTGCTTATTATTAATTCCTTTACTGAGGAAACTAAGGCACAGAGAGATGATTTGCCCAAGATACAGGGCAGGGATTAGAACCAGGAGTCCTGGCTTTTTTGAGGAACGTCCGCAAATTAGCCATAGCTCCTGTGGTAGGGAGAGAAGTGGTTCCATTATAGTCAATTGTCTGTCTCTTGCTTTTTGAACTCTCAGAAAGTAAAATGATGTCATTCGACTTTGTACCCTTCCACATACCTTGGATATCTAAGGCCTCAACAAATAGTTGTTGAATGTGGCTGGAGAAATGTATTTTAAGTTGAAAATATATTTAAGAATTGAAAAAGCAGGAAAACATCTCTTTTCCAGATTGAAGAAGTTTTTTTGACAAGAGTTAGAATGTTGTCAGTAGTTAACGTTAGAAATTTCCTGATAAACTACTGTTTGATTTTCATGCCTCGAAATTTTCACTCCTGCCTCCAAAATGTCAGGTAAAATGGCTCATAACTTATTAGTGTGTGCTTGTTTAGTATGCATAATTATTCACTGGAGAAACAGTAGGAGACAGGAGTTAGGACATCTGGTAGGTCTTGCCTTTGCCACAATGTCCAATTAGAAAAGCCTAGAGTTTACAGCCAGACAGAATTTTGATTGAAGTTCAGCTCTGCCTCTAACAAGCAGGTTTTTCTGTAGCAAGTTACTTAGCATTTTTTTTTGAGCATTCTTTCAGCTCTGGGATGGGGGTAAGATCACCTGCCCCTCAGGGCTGTTCTGAGATGGGGCTGATGTATGTAACATTCTTGTTGAACTTTAGGCACTTGAGACAGGTGCACTGTGACTTCTGATGGCACTACATTCCAATGAATCCATCATAAATTGAAAGTATCTTAAGTCAAGAATGCACTTAACACCTACCGAACATCACAGCTTAGCTTTAACCGACCTTAAATGTGCTCAGAACTTGAGTTTCATTTCAAAAGAAATTGCTCAGCACAAGCAGGACATGTGGTCATTTTATCGAGATGATAGGATATAAAAACACAAAGCACAATATCCGAAAGTGCTGGCAACACACTTCCTTGAGAGCATCCTTCTTACCCTGATGATTGCCTGGCTGGCTGGGGAACTGTAGCTCAGCCGCTGTCCAGCATCCTACGAGGGAGTCTGACCATGTATCATTAGTCCAGGAAGAGATCAAAATTCAGACTTCCAAGGAACTTTCCATGGATGCCTGTGGCACTTGTACCATCGTGTAGTTGAAAAATCTTAAACCATCTTCAGTTTCCTTGAAGGACTGTAAATGGTAATGGCTATAATATGATGTGACTTAGTGACCGTGGAAGCTGCTTAATTTCTCAAAGCTTCAGTTTTCTCAATTGGAGAAATGATGGGTAGGGAGGGAGGAAGGGAATTAATTGATCTCTAAGATCTCGATCAACTGTATAGTTCAAGAAACTCATCAAGAACACACAATTCTGCAACTTTAGGTTTTTTTTTTTAATTCAGTTTTAGTTTAAATAAAATGATCCATATAAACTTTGCCTAACAAGAGCATTTGTAAAAATGTCCATATCTAGGCCTTCCTCAGAATTTGGCATAATTAACTTTGATAATCATAAGTGTATTTACATTATTTCATATATTATGTGATGGATACAAAGTTATCTTGAACATTTGACCCTCTTATTCAGCTTACTAAATATCAGGTAGTAAAAGGAGCATATTTTTCTTTGAGATACTTAAGAATCATGCAGGGCACATAGGAGAGAAAACCAAAGGTAATATTACATGGAAGAACTGTTACAGACACAAAGAAAGTACTTTGTGATTTCAGAGAAGGAAATACTTTTTCTAGACAGAAAAATTTAGGAAATCTTAATTAAGGAGCAAGACCTTCAAGAATTGGTAGAACTTCAGCTGGTAGAGATGTGGGGACCAGCCTGTACTTATTCTTGAAGGAAGGGATATCTGAACATATCTGGGAATGGAGCGGAATGTGGTTAAGCTGGGGGTGAGGAACCTGGAGGTAGGATAGTGGGACAGAAAGCTGCATGGCAGAATTGGGACCATTTTAAACATTGGGCTAAAGAGCCTGTCTCATAGGCAGCAGCTCACCATCAGAGGCATTTCTAAATGAGGAAATGGTGTGATTATGGCTTTTCTCTAAGAACGTTAATCACAGTAGAGGAGCCACAGGTAGCCCCAGTTAGGAAGCTC